CTCAATGAATTAATGGTGAAGAAGTATCTCTACCCACATTCCTTTAATACTGAAAGAGAAAAACATTGGAAGGCAACTCTGTTACACAGAATGAAAACTGAGGATGTTCATATTGGTAGGAAATGTCAACAAGAAAATTGCCATTGTGCCAAGACCAGAGCTAGGAATTCTAGACTTGCAATGTTCTCCATTAAAGTCACCCAGGAAAAGTCAAGTGCCCTATGACCTGGCCCCCAGCATTGCAGCTATGTGACCTCGAAGAATGAGTTCACCTCTCTAGGTCTTTGTTTCTTCATCTATAGAAGGAGTGCATTTCCAGTTCTAATGCAATGTGTCTACGGGGTTCTTTCATAGTAACAATGAAAATATAACTAGAAGGACCTAGCAATGGCTACATTTCCTGGGGGCTTATTCTATGCCAGGCATTGTCTAAGGGTTTTACATGTATTAACTCAGACCATCATCTTACATGGCAGGTACCATGCCTCTTTACAAACAAGGAAATTGGGACATAGACAGGTTAAACAATTTTCCCAAGGTCATAAGTAAAAGGTATAATACCAAAATTCCAACACAGATAGATGCTCTTAAAGAATACTCTCTACTGCCTTTTCTAAACGGGAAGGTCAGGTGTTGTGTAGTGTATACATTTAATTATGCATTTTAATATCCAGAGGATGCTTCCAAATATTTTCTTGCTGCTCTTCTAAATTGCAACCATCTTTCCTGCAGAAAATTACAGCTTTTCCTTGGCCTTTGTTATACCACAGGTAAATTATAACTAAAACGACTTAGTGAATTACTGGTTGCAAATCACAAACACCTGCAGAGTAAGATTTTCCTGCATATATAGAAATGCACAAAAAGATATATCTTTAGTTACTTTTACTCCAATACCTAAAAACATGCTCTATTCCCCTCCACTCCCTAGAATTATAGGACTAGAGAAAGTATGCACAGAATTTCCCGTTCTCCAGAGATGTTGCCCGTATTTACCTGCCTTCCTAGCCTTCAACCCCCAAGAAAGGGGGTGATTCTTTCACCTACTGGGGGCGCTGAAGGATTGTCTGGAAGACAGTCAGTTTCCCTCTACAAATGATTGGGTCTGTTTACTTGTGTTGGAAAAATAAGATTCTTTCTTAACATATAGATAAAAGAAACACACTGATATATCTGCCCTTAGAAAAAATACCCGATGCTGGAAAATTGATTTATAATAAAAAGTACTTATGGTTACTGTTTTAAAAATCTAGCTCATCATATCACCATAAAGCAAGGGGGTCAAATTTTTAGTCATACATATTACCTATTTAGATTTAAGAAAAGTGCATACTCTTATTTCAGTATCGTCCTAAAAAAAATCTATTTCATCGTAGCATTCAACTACTTAAAATTTATGGTAATAAAATTTTTTCACTCAAATTGAAATATTGACTATTCCTAATCATAAATTTTAACCAAAACAAATCTGGCTGAAGCCAGCTGGTATTTTGACAAACTAAAAAAAATATGTCAACCTTTCTTAACAATGACAGGCAAATTTTGAGAAAAGCTGGCTGATTTTGGACATAATAAATGAGAGCATTAAATTCTGAAAAAGGGTTTTAATGCATTCAGTAATGAGAACCAGTTCCAAAAAACAAAATGACATAATAAGACATAACTTAAAGCTTGGTCCCACTAGTTCTAAGTTTTCTGATGCCAGGGGTCAAGTTTATTTTGTTCATCACCCCAGCATTATCACCATGCCTGGCACTGTGGAGGCACTCAATAAACTGATGTTGAAAAAATCAGATTTTTCATAAAAACTTTCCATCATAAGCAACAGAAAATATTTTTCATATTATAAAACAGAATATTAAAATCCAAGAAATACCATCACATGTTCTATTTACTTTGTATCATGTCTTCAGATAATTATGAACAAATATGGAATGAAACTCACTTAATAGTTTCTATGTAGAAAATAATCAATTAAGCAAGACTGAAGTTTCAATTTAGTATGTATTTTTACAGTTTAAAAAACACTTTAAGTATCACTTTAACTTCATGGTCAACAATGCAGAATCATGGATTGACCACAGATTGAAATTAAATGAAATCATTTTGTGAACAATGTCAATTAGGGAAATATTAAATCAAAACAAAGCTTAATTTTTTTCTTTTTATTATATATTTAAAATTGCCTCATACAAAGGCAAGTACATATTACACACAGCAAACCATCTCTATGTATGTGGATTATGCTAAGATCATTTTGTAGTCTAAATGTTCTAGGAGACTAGGGATGTGCGTTAAGAAAATTGCCAGACTTTTTCTGTTACAAGAACTGATGAAAGTCTAATGGAAATCAAAATCAGGCAGATCCAGGGGAAAGAAGGAATCTGTCCAAGATTTTAGGCAGCAAAAATAGATCTGCTTAGCTCCTGAATTACATGAGAGCCCAGCTATTCGAGTAAAGTGCTCCAAGGTGGAAACTTGGGCAGAGCCCCAAGGCAACCATTCCATCTCCCAAGGTAGAGACCTCTTAGAAACAAAGCTCTGCTAGGTCTGAGAAAGGAACTCATCCCACCCACGAGAACACGGCTCTAAGCAATATTCCATCTTCAGATGTTCTTACCCTAAATGCTTTTGACTATCTAGATGGGAAACATTTTTTGGAAAGCAGAAAAGCTGGTTATGCTGTTACTAAAATCAAAATAGAAACGAGCTGATGTGAGCCCGGAATTATCCTAGCACCAACCCAGGTCCAGTTCAGAAAGACAGTGCCCATTTCTAGGAAGCCTCTCTCCTGACTTGGCCTGGCAGCATGGTCTCCACCTGAAGGTCACCTTTCTACCAGACTGAGTTACCCTCTCTGATTCTGGAACATTTCTGCACAGCTCTTGTCTTTGAAGGATTTACATGGTGGATGTGAGCTCATGATGGTCCAGGTGCAGCCAAGAAAGGACCCATTTCACTGTCTCTGGGCCTCGCTGTGAGTGACAGCCAGGCCATGGGAAATGCCTGCTAAGTGCTAAAAATGATTTAGCCGAATTCAAGGGAAGAGTGGAAATGACTGATTTATCAAGGAAAAGATGCCTGGAAAAAGTCTGAAAAAGGATACCACTTTAGCATTTGCACCAAGCAATTTGGAACATTAAGGAATTGTGTAAAGGAACACTAATACAAAGAACCAAGACAATTCAAAGAAGAGTGCTTTAAGCCCGACTATGCTAAATCTCTGAGTGACCCTTTCAAGAACATCTCTATCAATGAGGTTTAAGGAATTAGGGTTCTCTATCATAGAAAACAAAGTGGCTTGTGTAGGGAGGTATGAACTTCACACTTGTCTTTAAATATATTAATGGTGCTATAAATAGGACATCACCTGCTCCTCCCTCCATTTAGAAAAGAACAAGCCAGAACAGGTTTGAATTACAGATTCAAGAGAATCACAAGCAGAAATGCCCTGGCAGAACAGATTTCCAAAGGAAAACCTTGATGTTTTTCCTTCCCTGCAAGTAGAGGAACAAAAGGGAGATGTCTTTAGAGACCTGGCTTCCCAATAAGACTGAGCAGAAGCCCCTCTCCAAGTCCTTTCAGTCCTAAAAGTAGTAAAGAGAGATAAAAATGCCATCCCAGGGAGCATTCGAGGCCAGTTACACGCGGGGGTGAGGGCTGCCCTGCATGCACGTCTAGTCTACAAGGATCAAAAGGTGCTCTCTGTTCCACGTTTTATAGTACGAGAACCAGTTTGTGATCTGTGACTTCATGGCCTCCTACGTTCTATTTTCTATTCTTACCTCATTGAACTCAATCAGAAGATAGCACCCATTGAGCAGTGTGGGGAAAAAGGGAAATTTTATTTTTAAAAAACCATGGTGGTAACAATTCTTCCCATGCATAACATTTGAGCACCATCTGGCTCAGGATATCCGAAACAAACTGCCAAATACCAAGGACAGCTATTTTATACACTTGGTGAAATATAAGCAAAATGTACTTCTTTGCTGGTGGACACAAATAAATATAGGCGCATGTTTATAGTCTACGTTCAAAAAATATCATTCAGTGGAGACATTCCCAGATCAACCACTGACCAAAAAAAAATCTCACTGGATAATCGACAATTGACGCCTTGCACAAAATCTGCACACACATATCATACCCGGCACAAAAGTTTGAACCACACACTTGGAGAGATCAGTAACAGGAAGTTACCGCCATCTACAGATTTCCTGTCACTGTTCGAGAAAGCGAGCCAAGGATCTCTGCTTGAAAAATATAAACTGGCAAAATTGACATCAGCTGTTGAACTGCACGATGCTCCTAGTGATGAAATCCACTTTAATAACCTGCCCAAAACTGTAAACACATTAACTACCCATCTAGAAACAGGAAAGCAAGGGTCCATCCAAAATGCTGCTTATTTGTAGAATCAGAGGATGAAGGAGTCACAACTGGTCAACACCTCATCGCTTTCTGTCTATGGGGCTAAAAACATACAGATTTAAAAGCAAAGATGGACTTTTTTTTTTTTTTTTTTCATTTTCCCTGCCACTAACCACTTTCCCAAGGCAGGCTTCTTATAGAGTGAAATAAAGCCCAGTCCAAACTAAAACGCCAGCTCAGGGCTGTGCCAGAGGAAAGGGGCTGAAGGCAGCGGACTCGCCGAGGAAGCCCAGGGTTGATCGCGGGAGACCGATCCGAGCGGATGCTGCGGGCAGCGGCGCCCGCTGGGAAGCGCGGAGGAGTTTGCCAGCGGGTGCGCACAGAGGCAAAACACACGCCCTGCCCGTCCACCTGGAGAACACCTTGGCAACTTTATTCTGGGCAGAGCCTTCCAAGGAAACTTTTCTCTTGCCCGCAGCCCTTGCCCGAGCCAGGCCGCCCGCGGGCCGGCAAGAAAAGCAGGGAGCGAGGGGCCGAGGACAGCCCGGGCGGGACACGGCTCCGCGAGCCGGGTCCCCCCGGGGACGGGGAATGCGCGGGGCAGGGTCCGCGGGGAAGCCACTCACCAGCCCTAGGGCGAAGAAGAGGGCGAGCAGGGCGAGGCAGGAGCCCATGACGATGAGCAGCAGGAAGACGATGAGCGGGTGCTGCTGGCTCATGCAGTAGTAGGACTCGTACAGCCAGTCCCGGGACCGGGGCAGCCCGTCTCCGCCGCCCGCCGCCGCCGCCGCCGCAGCCTCGGCGCGGTCCCGCAGGTAGCGGCGGCGCCGCATCGCCTCCCGCCACATCGGGGCGGCTCGCGGGGCGCCCGCGGT